GAAGGGAGTGATTAACTTTCCAGTCTAGGAGCGGAAGTCCCTAGGATCATTAACCGTGAAGAGTGGAGTGTGGGACCCTACCCAGAGAAGCAGTGATGCCTGAGATGGAGGCAGAGATGATGGCATGGAGATATGGAGCAGCTGGAACTTTAGATCCAGAGAGGGAGAGTGACTGTGTGCTGAAGACTTGGGGGAGGGGTGTGGGTATCAGGTTGATAATGCATGGAGGGGATTGTAGCCATGTCAATGAATGCTATATGAAAGAATGAATTTAAACTAATGTTCTCCCATGTAAACTATCACATAACTCATAATAAAACATTTAAAAAAATGAAATGGAACACATAAACATCAGTATCTTAGCTATTAGTGAGCTGAAATGGACTGGTATTGGCCATTTTGAATCTGACAACCACATGGTTTACTATGCCGGGAATGACAAATTGAAGAGGAGTGGTGTTGCATTCATCCTCAAAAAGAACATAACCAGATCAGTCATGAGGTACAACGCTGTCTGTGTTAGGATTATATCCATGCGCCTACAGGGAAGCCCTGTTAATACCACTATTATTCAAATTTATGCACCAACCACTAAACCAATGAGGAAGAAAAAGAAGAATTCTTCCAACTTTAATCTGAAATTGATCAAACATGCAATCAAGATGTATTGATCATCACTGGTGATTGGAATGCAAAGGTTGGGAGCAAAGAGGATGAGCAGTACTTGGAAAATATGGCCTTGGTGATAGAAATGATGCTGGAGAACACATGTAGAATTCTGAAAAACCAATGATTTGTTCATTTCAAATACCTTCTTTAGACAGCATAACAGACGACTATACACATGGACCTCACCAGATGGAATACACAGAAATCAAATTGACTACATCTGTGGAAAGAGATGATGGAAAAGCTCCATATCATCAGTGAAAACAAGGTCAGGGGCAGATTGTGGAACAGACCATCAAGTACTCATATGCAAATTCAAACTGAAGCTGAAGAAAATGAAAACAAGTCCATGACAGCCAAATTGTGACCTTGAATATATCCCATCTGAATTTAGAGATCATCTGAAGACCAGATTGAATACATTAAACACTAAAGACCAAAGACCAGAAGAGTTGTGGGATGGCATCAAGAACATCATACATGAAGAATGCAAAAAGTCATTGAGAAGACAAGAAAGAAGGAAAAGGTCAAAATGGATGTCAGAAGAGACTCTGAAAACTTGCTCTCCAGTGTAGAGATGCTAAAGCAAATGGAAGAAATGAGGAGATCAAAGAGCTAAATCGAAAATTTCAAAGATCAGCTTGAAAAGATAATGATAAATATTACAACAAAATGTGCAAAGATCTGGAATCAGAAAACCAAAAAGGAAGAACACGCTCAGAATTTCTCAAGCTGGGGGAATTGAAGAAAAAATTCAAGCCTCGACTTTTGTTACTGAAAGATTCTCTGGGCAAATTATTGAATGATTCAGAAAGCATCAAGAAAAGATGGAAGGGATACACAGAGTCACTGTATCAAAAGGAAATGGTTAATGTTCAACTGTTTCAAGAGGTACCATATGATCAATAGACAATGATACTGAAGGCGGAAATGCAAGGTGCATTGAAGGAATTGGCAAAGAACAAGGCCCCAGGAATTGATGGAATAAAAGTTGAAATCTTTCAAGAAAGCAAGGAGGCACAGGAGACACTCATCTCTGCCAAGAAATTTGGAAGACAACTATCTGGCCAACAGCTTAGAAGAGATCCATATTTGTGCCCATTTGAAGGAGAGGTGACTCAATGGAATGTGGAAACAATTGATACCCCATGTGAGTAAAGTCTTACTAAAGATAATGCAAAAATGGCTGCAACCTAACATTGACAGAGAACTCCCAGAGTATAAAGCCAGATTCAGAAGAAGATGTGGAACAAGGAATATCACTGCTGACATCAGACAGATCTTGGGTGAAATCAGAGAATACCAGTAATAAGTTTAACTGTGTTTATTGACTATGAAAAGGCTTTTTTATTGTGTGGATCATGATAAGCTATGTACAACATTGCGAAGTATGAGTATTCCAGAACACTTATTTGTGCTCATGAGGAACCTGTACATAGACCAAGAGGCAGTTATTCGAAAAGAACAAGGGAACATCGAATGGTTTAAAATTAGGAAAGGTGTGGGCCAGGGTTGTATTCTTTCACCATACTTATTCAATCTGTAAACTGAACAAATGATCAGAGAAGCTGAATTATATGAAGAAAACAGAAAACCATGGCATCAGGCCTAGAGGAAGACTCATTAACAACCTGCGATATGCAGATAATACAACCTTGCTTGCTGAAAGTGAATAGGACTTAAAATGTATACTGATGAAGATCAAAGAGTAGAGCTTTTGGTATGAGTTGAATCTCAATGTAAAAAAAAAATAAACAAACAAAAAAACCCAAAAAAACCTCACCACTGGACCAATAAACAATATTCTTATCAACAGAGAAAAGATGGAAGTTGCCAAAGACTTCATTTTTCTCAGCTCTACCATCACCACTCATGGAAGCAACGGTCAAGAAATCAAATGATGTATTATATTAGGTAAAGCTGCTGAACAAGGCGTCTTTAAAGTGTTGAAAAGCAAAGATATCAGTTTGAGGAATAAGGTGTGCCTGACCCAAGCCATGGTATTTTCAATAACCTCATATGCATGTTAAAGCTGGACAATGAATTCATAAGACCTTAGAGGAATTGGTGCATTTGAGTTATGGTGTTGGAGGAGAATATTGAAAGTACCATGGGCTGCCAACAGAATAAACAGATCTGTGTTGGAAATAGTACAGTCAGAATGTTCCTTAGAAGGCAGTATACCCAGACTTGTGTCTCATACTTTGGACATATTATCAGGATTGACCAGTCTCTGGAGAAGGACATCATGCTTGCTTAAGTGGAATGCCAACAAAAGCTAGGCAGATCCCCAGTGAGATGGGTTGGCACAGTGTCAGCAGCAATGGGATCAAATGGAGCAATGATTTGGAGGTTGGCCCAGCACCGCACACAATTTTGTTCTGTCATGCATAGGTTTGCTAGGAATAGGTACCACTCAGGGCACATAACAACAAGAGCAATTCATTCCCTTGCCTGTTTTTTCATTTTGTCTTGTTCTTTGTTTTTTTTTTTTTTTTAACAGAACAAGTTCATATATTGTTTTATGTTCATTTGGAAGCAAAATACTTAATAAAACTAGAAGAGAATTTGAAAGCAAACTTTGATTCTGATGTATCGGCTTGGTCTTTTTGTTGTTATAATGTGCCATGGAGTTGATTCTGACTCATAGCGATGGTACACGGTTTTTCTGAAGAGAAGCTGGTGAGTTTGAACTTCAGAATTTTAGTCAGCAATTCACTACTTATCCTACATCGCCACCCTACCCAGACACTAAAATAGCCGTTGATTCCAACCAATCGTGAGTCTCCCTATAGAATAGTTTCCAACCACATGTCGGCCGGCCCTCTCCAGAGAAAGAAGAGACTTAAAACTTCTGCAAAAGATTTGGTGGTGGCTGTGTGCTGTGGAGTCGGAACTGACTCATAGCGATCCTTTACAGGGTTTCCGAGGCTGTAAATCTTTACGGGAGCAGAAAACCTCCTCTTTATCTCGTGGAACAGCTGGTAGTTTCGAACTGCTGATCTAGAGGTTCGCAGCCCGATTCGTAACTACTATGCTTGCAACCTCTGAAATGTATACAGGGTAGCTACTGAGTCCATGGCACTTATTAACAACAAATCCTTATGGAGGAGTGCTGGTATGTCGATGTAGGCTAAGCCCTGGACTTAAAACCTGTAGGTCAGCGGTTTAAACCCACTAGACGCTCCTCGGAAACACTATATTGGGTCATTATGCATGGGAACTGCATCCAAGGCACTTAACAACAACAATGATGTTTATGGAAGCTGATTGCCCTTGTTACAGCTTTCTCTCTGGAGTGGATGATGGGTTGGAGTCATCACCTTTAGTTTAATAGATCAGTACTTAACCACTGCACACCAAGGTTTCCTTTCCTAAAATACACACTAGTATAAATCATGAAAAGAAAAAGAAGTTAGAAGAAAGAGAGAAAACTGGTCCAGATAAGAAGTAGCTAACCCAGTGTACAGCAGGATTTTTGTTGTAATTAATAAATCCGCTTTTAGCTTTTTGGAATAAGCAGGCTTAAGCTATTTCTTTCAAGAAGAATGGTTGAATTTCATGGTTCCAGGCGTTAGGGAACGCTATGAAGCACCTCTTATTCTTTTTCTGTACATGCAGGAACATATGTCTAACTCGCAGGTCACTGACAGAAATGACTGGAAAGCTTCTGGGCATCAACTGGCCTTTGCTAAACATTTAGGGCCGTTTTATTGACCGAAAAATCCAACTCATGATCCTGTTTGTGCTTTTTTCCAAATCTACTAAAAAGCAAGGTAGAGAATCAGGTCTCAGTGAGCTGATGTAGCAGAAGGAATCTTGGCTAGATGTCAGGAGATTTACAGCAGGCTATGATGATGGGGGGCATTTCAGGACCAGGATGAGGGGGCGAGCAGGAGACAAATGAACTTATCTCTCTGCTTCCTGATGTCAAGGTGGCCTGGGGAGAGAGAGATCACAGCAGTGTGTCGCCTAGGCTGCAGCGGATAGCCCTCCGCGCCACGGCCGGTTGCCGCTCTCCTCCGGCTCTCGGATGAGCAAGCGTGTGTGTGCGCGAGAGCGGCGGGCGGCGGCGGCAGCGGGAGGAGGCGCAGGCGCGCTGCTCGCCCGTCTGCAGCCCCGCGCCGAGCGCAGTGTCTCAGGGAGTTGATGGCAGCACCACAGTACGGCCGCCGGTCAGAGCACGGAGCGCAGCCTTCCGCCGCTGCCCTGAGTGCGCCCAAGATGTTGGGGGATTGGGGCGGCAGCGGCAGCAGCAGAGCCAGGGACGGGGGCGTGCAGCAGCATTCGCTCGCCTGCCTGTCCTGACCTGCCTCGCTTGCCCCCAAAGAATGTCAGCCAAGTCCAAGGGAACCCCCTCCTCGTCCTCTCCAACCGAGGGGCCGCCTGCAGCTTCCAAAACCAAGGTGAAGGAACAGATCAAGATCATCGTAGAAGATTTGGAATTAGTCCTGGGCGACCTGAAGGACGTAGCCAAGGAACTTAAGGAGGTGAGCGACGCGGGGGTGGGGAGGGAGTTCGGCGCCTTTGGTCCAGTTGCGGTTCCTGGGTCCCTTTTTAGCAGACCTCTAGATTTCCAAACTCTTGGGAAACTATAAAAAGACGCCTGAAAACGGACTTTTTTTGCTTTGGAGACTTCAGAGAGAGTTGTTGTACTTTCTCTTTTTAATCTGGAAGAAATCAACTAGTGTTTAAATCGATTGACCTAGGGGTGATGGGAGGGGTGAAGGCGCGCACGTCTATGTGTGTGTATTATAGTGTGTGTGTGTTGGGTAACTGGGGGTGTGTCAGCAGAAGAAGAAATGAGTAGCCCTGCTGGAGCTTGCACGATACTCCTCTCCTGCCTTCTGCTCCCCTGGAGCCCTTTGGCAAGTCCGCTCTGCCTGGCAGTATCCCGAAGCCAGGGCTGAAGGGGGGGCCCGGTTCCAGGCCTTGAGCCAGACCAGGGAGGGCAGGCTGGGGGAGCGCAGCTCTAGTTCATCTCCTACCTCCCGAGCCTCTCAGGAAGGAAGACGACCCAGGCTACTGGCAGGAGAGTCCAGACTTCGGGATGTGAAGCGAGCCTGGGACTTTCTCACTTTAACAGTTTCTGAAGCATCCCTAGCTGCCCTCCGCAGGAGACTTCCAACAACTCCATGCCTTCTCCCCACCCCACCTTCTTCCTACCATCCTGTTTCCATTTAGCATTGAATAGGGGCTAGGGACACACCAGTGAAGCTTTGTGTGTGTGCGTTTTTTGTGTTGTGAACGTGCGTCTGGGTTTTGCCACACCATCCCTGGCCCTTTGAAACCAGGACGGTTTTGCTCCCACCAAACCACCCCCTAATCTCTGTTTCCTGGTGATCCGGTTGGGAAAAAAGAGAGAGAGAGAGAGAGCGAGAGCACGAGAGACAGCGGTAGGGTTGGGGCTATGTAACTTGGGCGGAGGCTCCAGGCATGGGCGGGGGCCCGACTGGATGGGGTGGGGTATTAGGCGGCTGGGTGGGGTGGGGTCCCAGGCGAGCCTCACTGGCAGCTGATGGCGCCACGAAGCTGGTGGCCAAGCCCCAGCAGTCGCTATTCATTTACTAAACCTGTGCCTGGTGCTATTCTCGGTGAGAAGTCTGTGCCCCAAATAGGACTAGAGCTGTGATTATAATTTGGAAAGTGGTAGTGGCCATGGCAGGAAGGGAATGAGTAGGACATAGTAGTATAGGTTCAAAATACTGTTGTAATACTATTTCTTAGTACAAAGGAAGAAGATTGAGGGTGGTTTGGGTGTCTGGCCTTAAAGATTAACCTCCTTTATCCAATTGAGAATCCAAAATTGAGGAAACAGTACTCCAGCCCTTCATTACCTCTATGAACTGAAGTCTACATTTGTTACTTAAATTAAGTCTGTTTGAATCACCTATTCATCAGCAAGATTCCTTCTGCCAATGGCAAATATCATTGCTGTAGGTGCTCCACAGACATAATGTAATTACTTCTGAGGTGTGAGAGTGCTGGTTGATAAGATTCTGGGATAAAACTTGTTGGTGTGTGCAGTGCTTCTCCAAGATCATCACTACACAACTGTTTGACAGATGGTGAGGTTATGCATTGAAATTCAAGTCTAACCATACTGTTCCTTTCTTTGTTATCCTTTTATTTGACATCTTTGGCAGGCTGTGTTTTCATATGAAACATTATGGCGTATTTAAGAAAAGAACAAATTTGGGCATTTTCCTTTTGGCAGGATTGTGTTATATAGTTGTTGGGATTTCTAAGGTGCTGGGGAATGTGGGAAAACTACAGCAATAGTCATAATAGTCAGAGATTGAGATAAACAGAAACAGAGGCAATCAAATTCTGCCTCTCTGGACACATTCTTCCTTACATTAGGATGTATAGCTCACTCCCAATTATGGATAGACTTTATTGTGAGAAATAGCATATGGTATTTGTTCTGCTTTGCACCATTATACTGTATACATTTGGAGATCAGGTAGCTCTGTAGTGAAACTTTTAATCCCCCCCTGTGGCTCTTGGTTAGAATCACAAAGATGTATATCTTTGTGCATTTGGTACCTCTCCCTTTTATTCATGGCTTCATTTATTTGAGGAGTTTTAATGAGAAAAACAACAACAGCCAAGAATCTTTCCAGAGGAATTGAAAATAACAAATAATGTGCAATCAATGCAATCAAGAAGATTAAAAAAACAATCTGACTTCTAGTAAATACTATTTGGAGATTTTTTTTTTTTTTTTTTCCTTTTTTTTTACTTGCTACTTTGGAACCTTAGATTGGCTACCAGGCTTGGTTTGGGTAATAATCTCAGGGTAATCCTGACTTTTATCAATGGAATATTAGGTGATGGGGAAATAATTATTTTCGTGTGGGTATTATCATTCTGGGTTTGCACATGGTATTGTAGATACTATGGCTGAATCTCTCGGTCTTCCTTTTTGTTGTTGTTGTTGTTAAAGTGCCATTGAGTCAGTTCGGACTCATAGCAACCCTGAATAGGGTTTCTGAGGCTTTAAAATCTTTGTGGGAACAGAAAGTGTCATTTTTCTCCTGCAGAGTGGCTGGTGGACTGAATTACGGACCTTTTGGTTAGCACTCCAGTTCTTATCATATGGAACCACTATGCTCCTGTTTTTCCTCTCTTTTTCTCTCTCTATATATACATCATGAATTAGAGTTATTTGGGGAACAAAATATTTATATGGCATGCTTAGCCTATGATATCATGAAGTTGTCCTGCATTTATCTTTTTGAAGATAACATTGCATATGTGATTGAGCATGCTTTTGATGTAGTTGTGAATGAGGGATTAACTGAACACATTTTACATTACAATGCTTGCTGATCTATACACTTATGACACATAAATATAAATGTTGCTATTTAATTTAACAGTTGTCACATTCAATATTCTGGCAGTTTATAATTGATTCATATTAAATTTGCATGTTGTATTTAGAACTCTAATTTCTTTTTTGACAATGACAGGCTTTTAGGGTATAATATATTTCTTTATAAGTTAGCCTAGAGATCTTATTAATTCAAAAGATAAATTAAAAGTTAAAATATTATGATAAGATCACTATGTCAGTTACCATATGGTATTTGTTTTTCTTTTCTTCATTTTCATTCTAACTAAAATATAATATTATTATTTGAATATTCTGTTATTTATCTAGGATAAATTGTGGGCCAAGAATATTAGATATTCATTTAAGGCTATTTTGAAATTAGTTTTTCTTTGTAGAAACTCTCTGGACTTTAGTCATCTGAAAATTCAGGTAGATTCAAACAGTAACAGTAGCTGAAAGGCCTTTAATAATTAGTAATAAAACCATAATCATATCCAGCAAGAAAAGTGGCATAATAAGTATATTCTTATGATTATTTATGGTTAAGTGTCAGTTTAAGTGTGAAAATATCTGTTTTCACATTCTCTCTAATGAGAATGAAAGGATTGTTGTTATGTTTTTAGGTGTATAATGACCCTGTGCACAACAGATTGAACACACCGCCTAGTCCCGTCTCATCCTCACAATTACTACATCTGAGCCCATTGCTGCTTCCACTGTGCCAATCCATCTTGTTGGGGGTCTTACTCTTTTTCTCTGCCCCTCCACTTTACCAAGCATGATGTCCTCTTCTAGGGACCAGTCCCTCTTGATAATATGTCTTAATTATGAGAGATTACGTTTCACCATCTTGGCTTCTAAGGATCATTCTGGCTGAACATCCTCCAATACAGATTTATTTGTTTTTCCGGCAGGCCATGGCACTCTTAATAGTCTTCTCCAAAGCTGTAATTCAAGTATGTTGACTCTTTTCTGGTCTTCCTTATTCATTGCCCAACTTTCACATCTATATGAGGCAATTCAAAATACTATGGCTTGGGTAAGACACACCTTAGTCCTCAAAATGATCTCTTGGCCCTTTAACAATTTAAAGAAGTATTTTTTCAGCAGATTTGCCTAATATAATTTGTCGCTTGATTTCTTGACTGCTGATTTCATGGGTGTTGATTGTGGATCAAAGCAAAATGAAGTCTTTGAAAACTTCAATCTTTTCTCTGTGTATCATGATGTTATTTATTGGTCCAGTTGTGAGGATTTTGTGTTTGGAGTTGTATGTTGGAAAAAGTACAGGAATTTTAGAAAATTGAAGGGCAGTTTTATTCTACCTTCAGAATTTAGTAAACTAATTTGACCCTTCAGAAATAAAGTGGGCTTTTCATCCTGTATAAGGAGCCATGGTGTCTCTATAGGACTGGGATATTAACTATGAGACTGGAAGTTCAAACCCACCAGATGTTCTACAACAGAAAGAGAGGCTTTTTACTCCCATAAAGGTACATAGTCTCTGAAACACTACACAAGATAATATGAGCTGAAATTGACTCAGTGGAGGTGGGGTAGGATCATACTCTATACTGTAATGGAAAATCTTGACTATCATTTAACAACAGAGAAAAAGAGGAAGACCCTCAACGATATGGATTGGCCAGGTGGCATCATTGATGGATTCAAGTGTGGCAGCGGTAGTGAGGTTGGCCCAGGATTGGACATTGTTTTGTTCTGCTGTGCATGGGGTCTCTATGAGTCGGTTCCGACTCGATGGCACCTGACAACAACAACAACAACATCATTTAACATATTAATCAGTACCTACTATGTGCCAAGGAGCACAGTGGCTCTGTAGCATTAGCACTAAACTACAAACCACAATGTCAGTGGTTCAAGGCCACCAGTCACTCCTCAGAAGAACAATGAAAGTTTCTGCTACCAAAAGATTTGTTGTTATATTGTTAGGTTCCATAGAGTTGGTTCCAACTTATAGTGGAGCAACTTTAAGTTGGTTCCAATTTAAAATGGAACCCTATGCACAAAATGAAACACTGCCCGGTCCTGGGCCACCTCAAATGTTGTTACATTTGAGCCAATTGCTGCTGCAACTGTGCCAGTCCATCTAGTTGGGGGTCTTCCTCTTTTTGCCAATCCTCCACT